AGAGAGAGAGAGAGAGAGAGAGAGAGAGAGAGAGAGAGAGAGAGAGAGAGAGAGAATAAGTTTTAGCTACTCCAGGAAGCTTCTGGCCAAGGCAGAGCCCCCAAAGTCCCATTTAGCTACTATGTAAGGACTGGGGTAGCTGGGCTGTAGCTCCGTTGGTAAGGTGCTTACTTGGCATGCATGAAGCCCTGGTTTCTATCCCCAGCACAGCATAGAACAGCAAGGTGGCAAAGGCCTGTATCCCAGCATTTGTGAGGCAGAGGCAGGAGGATCGGAAGTCCAAAGTCATCCTGTGCCACATAGTGAGTTCCAACCCAGCTTGGGCTACATGAGACCATGCTGCAAAAAGAGGTATGAATTGAGCCAGGCGGCGGTGGTGCACGCCTTTTAATCCCAGCACTCAGGAGGCAGAGGCAGGCGGATCTCTGTGAGTTCGAGGCCAGCCTGGTCTACAGAGAGAGTTCCAGGACAGCCAGGACTACACAGAGAAACCCTGTCTCGAAAAACAAAACAAACAAGCAAATAAAAACAAACAAACAAACAAAAAGGAGAGTATGAATTGAAGCCACTATTCTGGATGACGTGCAGAAAATTTTCAGAATACGCAATAAAGAATTCTCCTTGAGTTAATATGAAAACACAAACTGAAATAAGAATGTAGAGGTTAGGAAACAGCACCTGCATAACAAACAGCCCAGGATGTGCTGCCTTGGCGAATAACTAGTTTTCAAGGGACAGAGAGATGATGCACAGTACAAGGTCCTTGAACTGCATTTCACCCCCGAACACAACTTTAAAAGGAGAACAGAATTGGTAAGTCCATTTAGAACGATAGCCTGGCCTTGGTCCAAGCTCTTAATGCCCGGGACACAGTATGTAGACTCTTCAAAATAATAACGACACCGGGGTGGTTTGAGACAAGTCAGGAAAGGAGGAAGGGACCGTATTATGCAAGGCTTTCAAATCTTTGGTAAAATACTCAGATTTTCTCCTTTAATCAAATGGAAGTCATTAAAATGTTTGAGTAGAGTTTCTTACTGCTCTGTTAGGAATATTTGGGAAACAGAATCTAATAAAAAATGTTTCCAACACACTCCTAACCCCTCGCTAAATCAGAAGACATCTCCCCCCATGGAAATGTCTGTGATGAGCTGACCAAAGTCTGGAGGAGCTAATTTCCCTAGAAACAGATTTGATGTATTTCTGGAGTTTTATAGATCATCAGGGGGCTGTTTATGAAAAAAAAAAAATCTTAACTTTGGGTTCTTGATCTCGTCTACAACGCAAGCGTTTTAAAGAACTGAATAGTTAAGGGATGCTTAAGAGGCAGCCTCCAAAGTCTGAACCTAGATTTGGTCAGAAGAAAACTAAATCACTGGCCCCTGAATGGGAGGTGGTGGCATTTATCAGCTGCATCTTAGACTCAAGCTGCAGCCACATAACATCACATCCTCTTCTCTCCGCTATCAGTGAGATGCAACAGGAAACTGACGAAGGTGCTAGGCAGCTTCCTTTCTGTTGGGACCGGCCTGGCTTCCTCTGCAGCTTGCGCCCAGCTGATTGTAAAGGAAAATCTGCAGATGCCAGTCGGCTTCCTGCAGCTGGATCAAGACCAGCAGGAAGAAGGAAAAACAAGTTTCTTAGATTAGTCAGTTTCCCTTTGCAGCTGAAGTTGGGGTAGAGCTCTGGTCACCCTGCTCTTTACAGTGCTTCTCCCACACAGCTCGGCTTTAAATCAAGAGAGGCATGATAAGGAATTTTCCAAAAGTGCACACTGCATTATGTAAGTCTATGGGAGATCTTCTGTTGACTTGGGGGAAGCCTACCCATATAGAAACAACCTGCTTAATGTAGAACCTTGGGTTGGTACATGGAAAGGCTATTCATACAGAACAATCTACTTGTTAAGCTTTAATTAATTAATCAATTAATTTCTTTGGTAGTGGTGCTAGGAATGATCCCAAGACCTTGCTTGTGTTAGGCAAGGACTCTGCCCCAGCTATATCCCCCAGGGGATGAATGTTTTAGCCACTGAACTCTTGTTTTTTCCTGGTTCATGGTCTCGATATGTAGCCCAGGCCAGCCTCAAATACATACAATGCTGCAATTGTAACCATGCCACCATAAGTTTGAAAAGGTTTTTTTTTTTTTTCTTTTTTCCCCTCCCGAGACAGGGTTTCTCTGTGTAGTTTTTGGAGTCTGGCCTGGAACTCCCTCTGTAGACCAGGCTTGGCGTCGAACTCACAGAGATCTGACTGCCTCTGCCTCCCCAGTGCTGGGATTTAAGGCATGAGCTGCCACTGCCGCCGCCGGACAAGTTCGATAAGTTTTTAATTTTCCTTTGATTTCAATAAAACTCATTATTTTTTGGGGGGGGGAACCTTACTGATAACTCTCATATTTTTTTGGTTGTGAGCCTAGCCTTTAACGGCTGAGCCATCTCTCCAGCCCCTTACTGATAACTCTGATGTGTATGCCCAACAGCCAAGTTATTTTGCTCCTGCCTCAGCATGACTAGCAAGGAACTGTTTCCATGGAGAGCGTTTTATTCAGAGTGAACAGGAGACTCACATCAGTGTAGGAAAGGGAGAGGATTGGGCTACTTCAATCAGCAGGAAGTTCTGTCTGGTGTTCTAGCAGGCTGCCTGTACGGCTGCAGCGTTTGAGACAAACACGGACCGCTGTGAAAGAAGACCCTGAGTGGCTTACTCGGGAGATGTCACTCACTGAGAAGGCGTGAGCATCTGTCTTCTCGTGGTGGATAGGACGGCGCACGCACGTCGGCAATCCCAGCACTCAAGAGGCAGGGGTGGGAAGACTGAGTTTGAGGTCAGTCTGAGCTATGTAACAAGACTCTAGCTCAAAACAAAACAAAAACCCAAAAACAAAAAACAAACCTGGGGCTAGAGAAAGGCTTTGTAGCTAAGAGTGATCATTGCTCTTGCAGAATGTTATGCCCAGATTGTGACCCCAAAGAGACCACCGAAGACCTTGGATGTCCAGAATGCAACAACAGCAAGGTTTATTCTGTAGATACCAGTCTAGACAGGGAACTCCTTCCTACACCCAATACAGTGAGGCAGGGAGGAGCTCCTCTTTCTTTCTGTGGCTGGCTTTTTAAAGGCAAAAACCACAAGCCCTTCAGGGGGGCTAGGGGGGTTTGCACGGGTGCAACTTGGATTGGTTTACTTTTATCTCTGTTCTCTTTTAATGGGGTGAGGGTATGCAACCTTCGAATTTACTGGTTGGGGGTTACAATTATCACTTTGGGGGCAATCTGGCACAAGTCCCAGGCTTTGTCCTTGAGCCGCCATGGGGGCTGGCTGGCCAAGCACGTACTGACTGTGGGGGCTGGCTCAGTGGTCCAAGCTCTGTCCTTGACTCATGCCCATAACTCTAAGTTGGTGAGGGGTCCCAGACAGTAAACATCTGGCTGAACTTTGAGCAGTCAGAGTACGTGTAGAAAGGGAGCTACTGCCAGGACTATGTCTTTTGTTCACGGCCCTCCCAGAGACTGCTTGCTCAGTCTCAGGAAACTGAAATTGAGGCCTGATCTCTGTGAGAAGACTGAGCAGGCTGTTATAGCATCTGCTTGGTCCTTTCACAGAGGACCTGAGTTCAGTTCCCTGCACCCATGGTGGGTGGCTCAAGACCAGCTGTAAGTCTAACTCCAGTGGGATCTCATGCCTCAAGAACATGCTCTCCCATGTCCATACCTACCCGCATACAAATAACTTAAAGTAAATAGAAAAAATAAGTAGAATACCAAACCACCACAAATCAAAATTTCCTCCATGAACTTAACAACGTGGAATTACGATATTGCTGTGGAATTCACACTGGTGAGAATAAATTAATTTATCAGATGGACCATTTCCTCATTGCATGCTATTTCCTCTCATGCTAGCCTCTGGCATTGAATTTCTTTATGAAAACTTCTTCAATTCCGTCGGTTCGTAGCTAGTTTTAAAACAAGACTCCCATATAGTTCCCTCTTCTGTATTTATATGATTGTATGCAGCATCCTTTAGCTCAGTCATAACTAGGATCACCGAAGTGGAGAACAGTATGAAGAGAAGAGTTCCGAAGTATGGATCTCTGCTACACGAAGGAACTGCAGACGAGCCAGCTCTGAAAAGAAACACGGTCAGAACTCCTGGTCGCTTCTAAGCAGTTGGAGCAGCTCCATATTTAAAAGCACCAGAAAGGCAACAGATTGGCGGGTGCTCTGGCATTCTCCTGTTTTTTTTTTTTTTTTCCTAGAGACTAATTATCTGTTATTTAGCAGACTTGCTAATATACTGTGGAGTTCTCCAAGCAACTTAATGGCTCAGCTAGCAGATGCGTTATTAAATAGCAAACAAACAGGACTTGCCACATGAATCATCTTTGCCAAAGGATCTGTAGACTTTTTCTAAACACTCGCAAGAGGAATGGACCTTTGATTCACAGAGATAGCCCACTATTTCATGGATGTATGTGGTGCCAGGCACTGAACGCAGGGCCTTGAGCCTGCTAGGCAGTTAACATTGAGCTATACCCCAAATCAATAGATCTTGTTCTAAGGAGGTGAGTATACCACATCATTTAAAAAAAACCTTAATATACATATCATTTCACAGACTCAATAAGATGGTTTACATTATCATCATTCATAGATACCATTATGTGTTTTAATAATGGAATCTGGGTGATTTTTGTCTCCACAAAATTTGAGGCAAAAATTGAGTATGTCATTAATGTAATAAGGGCAAGATTTTATTCAATCTTATATATTCAGTTAACTGAACTGATTTTTTTTTTTTTAATTTAGACTTCAATGGACCATAAACGCTGTGAAGCTCTCTTAGCTCTGCTGGGTTCCAGCCCCTGCCTGCTCTGTGGCACTTCCTCAGGTGTGGACACCAGGGTGCTCTGTCCCCAACCTCCTGCATGTGGGGAACTCTGTCTCCATGCCTGCCTGCTGAGGAACTCACAATGGCTGCTTGAAAGCAGCTCTGGCCGGGCAGACTGAGAGGGGAAAGGTCACATAACATGCCAAGAACGGCTGAAGAGCAAGCTAGAAATATGAAAAAAAAAAGAAAGAAAGAAAGAAAAAATGGAGGGGTGTGTGTGTGAAACACAGTGAATACATGGATGGATTCAAATCCTAGCCCGCTTCTGCACTTGTGAGAGCAGGGTGAATTTTCTAATCTGTGTGTTTTCTCTTGCCTGTAAAATGAGATGACTAACAGGCTTGGGGAAATGAAATGAATTGATGTAAAGGCATCAGCTACTTTCCTCATTGCTGGGACTGAGAACATGACAAGAAACAGCTTTAGGAAGCAAAGGCATTTTTGGGGATCATGGTTGGAGGGGATACAGTCCATCAGGGCGGGGGAGGAGTGGCTGGCCTTCTGGTGGTGTCTGCAGTTAGAAAACAGAGAGAACAGGAAATGGGGGCGGGAGTATGAAGAGAACAGGAAATGGGGGCGGGAGTATGAAGAGAACAGGAAATGGGGGCGGAAGTACGAAGCCTCCAGGTCCACCTAGTGATGCAGTCCCTCCAGCCAAGCTCCTAAAGCTCCCACAAGCCTCCCCAACAGCTCCAGCAGCTTGGACCAAGTGTTCAAACACACATGGTAATAATGGGGGGACAGTTCGCATGTAAGTTACGACATTAAGTAACTGCCTGGCTTACGACCAAGATGATACCGATGTATTATTTATTGTTATTATACTTGGCTCATCATGTATGTGAAAGATTATTATGTAAGAGGGAGGATTTGACCCATCTGGAGCGGCATTATAGGGATCAATGGTGAGAACCACAGCTTATTTTATTTTGACTCAAGGATGGCACGCATACAGGAAAGTGGTGGGCACTATCATTATGAAACAGGAGCCCCCCAAAATTAGAATTTCCCCAGGAATCTCATGCCCAGGGAGGGAAATGCTGAATCCCTGGTACAGAGTAGGAATTTGCCTTCCAGGAGGAGAGTTCACACTGACTGACATATCCATATCTCTTTTGTTTCATCTGTTCTTTGAAAATATGATCCTGATACGGGAAAGAGAGAGAGGGGAAGTAGGAGCCTTTGTCTTCTAGGTATAGCCAAGCTGTAAACAAATCTGTTTTCTAGCTGAGAATGTGGCTCTGTGGGGAAAGTGTTTGCCTAGTCCTCATGAAGCCCTGGGCTTGATCCTTAGTGCCACTTAAAAACAGAGTGGCACACGCCTTTAATCCCAGCACCCGGGAGGCAGAGGCAGGAGGATCAGAATGTCAAGGTCATCCCTGGCTAGCAAGTTTGAGGCTAGCCTGGGCTGCAAGAAAAGGTCTCTCAAAAAATGAAAAAGTCCATTTTTTTTCCTTTACCAATTTCTGTCTCTTCATTTCTTTTAAAATCCAGAGGAACTAAGGCAGCGGGCTTGTGGCCCCTCAGTGTCTGGTGATGATGAGAGCCAGGGGTTCTGTGGTCTGAAGAGGCTCGGGTGTGGAGCTGAGCTAGCGTGGACACTGGACCAGTCAAGCTCTAACTCTCCCACTGCCTCCCCTCCCGTGATCAGATTTGTTTGCTTTCCTCTTGCCCTAAACTGGAGGCTTGAAGTGTGTGTGTGTGTGTGTGATGTGTGTGATGTGTGTGTGTGTGTGTGTGTGTGTGTGGTGTGTGGTG